AGTTGCAATTGTCACTGTTCATTGTTTTGCAGTAGGATGGCTCCTATTGCCACGTCACTGATGTCAGCTTGGATAACAAATGGTTGTTCTGAATCTGGATTTTTAGGATTGGTTCAGGTGAGAATAGTTGTTTAGATTTTTCAAATGCTGCTTGCTATTCCATAGTCCAGTTAAGGGGTTGCCTTGGTTTTGATCCCCCCCTTTTGTCTTTAGCAAATTTATAATAGGGAGAGCAATTCGTGCAAAGGCTGGAATGAATTGACAGTAAAAGTTAGCAAACCCCAGGAAACTTTGTATTTGTTTACGGTTTGGGATGGCTCCCAATAGATGATGGCTTTTACTTTTTGTGGATCCATCTCTATCCCTTCGTAGGATAGTTTGTGTCCCAGGTAGTCAATTGTTTCTTGGTGGAACTCAACATTTAGAGAGTTTTGCATAGAGCTTAGCAAGAACTGTTTGGACTACTTTTATGTGTTCTGCTTTTGTTTTGGTGTAGATGAGAATGTAATCAAGATAAACCAGGATCCCTTTGAATAAATGTTCATGGAGCACCTCATTAATTAATTGCATAAACATGGCAGGCGCCCCTTGTAGTCTGAAAAGGAGTACTTTAAATAATCTTCCACTGATCCCCTTTCCTAATTCTGATGCAGTAATATACCTCTCATAAATCCAGCTTTGAAAAGATTTTTTCCTTTAGAGAGGTGGGCCAACATGTCCTTCATGAGGGCGAGTAGGTACATATTTTCTATGCTAATCATGTTGAAGTTGCAGTAGTCAACACAAAGGTGTAAGGAGCCATCTTTCTTTTCACGGAACAATACTGGGGCCACTATTTTCGGTTGGGTAGGTTCAATGAAACCTCTTTTTAGATTTTTGTTGATAAATGCTATGAGTTTATCTAGTTCTCTGGGGGACATGCAGTACATCTTTGGTTTTGGAAGTTTAGCTCCCGGTAAGATCTCAATGACACAATCTGTGGTGTGATGAGATGGGAATTCATCCGACGCCTCCTCACTAAATCCTTCCACCAAATCCTTGTATTGTTTGGGGATGATAGTGGCCTCAGCATGGTTGGCTAGCCATGGCCATTTCTCTGTTCCCTTTCTTCACCTCCCTTCCCCCTGGGAGGTTTGTGAATGTCTCTGGAATTTTACGTTTCCACCCTCCAGTTTACTTTAGGGTTCCATTTCCATAGCCATGCGAGCCCTAGGACTAGTGGCCATTCCATTCTTGGTGCTACTATGAATGTGAGGGTCTCACTATAGTCCCCCAGTTTTATTTGTAATGGTTCTCTGGCAAAAACGGCTAGTTCCCCCCTGCTACTATGCCATCTAGCTGGCAGAAAGAGATAGAGGTTTTCATTTTCCTTAGGTGAATTCCCAATCTCCCGGCCAGAGTTGGGCTAATTAGGCATTGGGTACACCCCAAGTCCAGTAATGCTGCTACTTCCTCCCTTTTCCTTCAGCTGGGAATAAAAAGTATTAGGGGTAGCATGAGCAGTTCAATTGGGTTGCTTACCAGCAGGTCGTCTTCCTCTGGGTTTGTGGGGGAAACTCCATGGCCTCCTGGCTTCTCAATGCAGTTTCTTTTCCTTTGGCGGGGGGGAGGGTTTGTAGGTTTCCCCCTGATGGGCAATCAGGCTTTCTGGCAGGGTTTTTTGAAGGGCACTCCGCTGCGTGTTGACCTGCCTTCCCACACTTGAAACAATCTGATTCCTCAGTGCCATGGCAGTTTGGGACTTGAATGTTTCCCGCCACCCCTGAGGTGGGGATCTTCTCCAGGCTTTGTCGGCGTGGTAGTGGTTTCGGGTTATGTCAATCTCTGCCTCTTCTGCCACCAGGTACTATTTATGCAGGTGGTTAGCCCCCCCACCCCACCCCAGGTGAGGCAGGCAGTGTACAGGTTGTCTTTTTATTCCTTCTTTTTGGAAATCCGGACTGGCTGAGACTCGATCACCAGCCACAGCAGAGGCTTCCCTTCAGGTGACCCTCCTCCTACCCCCTCCTCCTCTCACGCCCTCTTGCCATCTGTGGTAAGACCGGGAAGGTGCACATGCATGGGGAGACTCTTCTTAAGTGAGCACCGAAGTGCAGCAAGGGTGCGCGGGAGCAGCCGGCCACTCACTTGAGAGTCTCAACAGGATGCAGTTTCTCTCCTGTGCTAAGGCTCTGGCCATCGCCCTGCCATGTCGCCCCCCCCACAGCAGCTCTTTGGCCAAACACAGAAGGCGCAAACTCCAGCCTGAAGTGGCAGGAAGTGTAGGCTGCCTTATGCATCAAAGTGGCATGAAGGCAGGTACAGGGCCACTTCATTCCTGCATTAAGGCTCGGGCGACTTTCCTCCTCTCCTTCCTCTTCCTCTTACAACCCCCTGGCTGGCTGTGGTGGGACCGGGAGTGTGCGCACATGCGGGGAGACTCTCCTTAAGTGGCCCTGTACCACATTGGTGCATAAGTCAGCCTTCACTTCCTGCTGCTTCGGGCTGGAGCTCGCACCTTCTGCGCTTGGCCAAAGAGCTACCAGGGGGTGGGGGCAACACAGCAAGGTGATGGCCGGAGCCTTAGTGCAGAAGAAAAGCCACGTCCTTTTGCGTCCTGTTAAGGCCCTCCTTAAGTGAGCACCTCTCCACCCTGTGCGCGCCTTAGAGAGAGAGACACACACACACATATACATACACACAGAGTGATACACAGAGAGAGGGGGAGAGAGAGGAGGAGAGAGGGAGAAAGAGAGGGGGGAGAGAGAAAGAGAGATGAGAGGGAGGTAGAGAGGTAAAAAGAGATGGGAAAGAGGGAGGGAGAGAGAAAGTGATGAGCGGGAGAGGATGAGAGAGTAGGAGAAAGAGAGTTGGGGAGAGGGAAAGAGAGAGGGGGGAGAGGGAGAGAGAGAAAGAGATGAGAGGGAGGGGGAGAAAAATGGGTGAGGGAGAGAGATGAGAGAGAGAGAAAGAAGAAAAAGAGATCAGAGGGAGGGAGGGAGAGGGCAATAGAGAGGGAGAAAGCACGTGAGAGATACCTGGTTCCCATAGAAAAGAAAACAGAGCCACAAAACCTGGATAGGTGTGGCTGGGGGTGTCATGTGACTCAGGAGTGAGTGACATTGAGTTGGCCATGCCCATCCAGGTTTTGTGGCTCCTATTGTTTTGTTTTCCATGGGAAATGAGTCCAAATGGCTCTTTGAGTGTTTAAAGATTGCAGACCGCTGGTATAGGGTATACTGTTTGAGCAAGGAGTTGGACTAGAAGACTTCTAAGGCAACTTCCAACTGTGTTATTCTATTACTTTGGTCTCAATATCCCACCAATACTGGTACTTCTAATAAAGGCCTATGAGATGCAAGAAAATGCCCAGGATAATGATACCAGGATGTTGGTGTATTTTGACATTTTTAGAGGGAGGGAGATTTTGACACAGACTTCATTTACCATGTAATTTTGATTGATTTGGTTCCTGTGAACATGAAGTAGATATGTGATACCAAATAAAGATGCAGCTGTTTAATAGCAATAGCAATAACAATAGCAGTTAGACTTATATACCGCTTCATAGGGCTTTCAGCCCTCTCTAAGCGGTTTATAGAGTCAGCATATTGCCCCCAACAACAATCCAGGTTATCATTTTACCCACCTCGGAAGGATGGAAGGCTGAGTCAACCCTGAGCCGGTGAGATTTGAACAGCCGAACTGCAGAACTGCAGTTAGCTGAAGTAGCCTGCAGTGCTGCATTTAACCACTGCGCCACCTCGGCTCTTAGGTTGCTGACAAATTCTATATTTGCATCCTGAAATATTCCAAAAGCGAAGCATTTTTAAATAAAATCTGAGAGGTCAAATGATAATGGTGATGATGAAGATGACATCGGGGATCAGAAGAATGGGTCCTTCAATTGCATGTCTTTGACACAGCTATTTGATACCATTGTGATTTAACAACAATGAAGCTATTTTGCAGCCATTTTTTTTAACTTCAAGTTTGTCTTTCTCTGCAGAAATAAAGATTGTCTCAGAGTATGGAAACTATTTGAACAGGCCTTTCTGTACAAGGACCCATGCAATGTGACCATAGAAGATTACCAGCCTTTAATGGACCTAGCAAGATATCCCATACCATGCAACAAGGTGTGTTGTGCCAATAGATTTCCAGAGAAAGGAAAGGATTACATCTGGGGTTCCCAGTTTGCTATGGCCTCAGAAAAAGACATTAAATTGTTTTGTTTTTCAGTGACTAATTAAAAGAAAGAACTGTCCATTATTCACAAGTATCTGATAAATGTGAAAGTACTTTATCAGAGTGATTGTGATGTGCAGTCAAAAGTTCAACATGGTTTTTATATCCATATGAAACTTTGATCTTCCCATTGCAGTCATCATTTTGCCCATATCCCATGGTCTCCTCTGTAAGTTGTTGAAATATGTTTCCTAGCAATAGATCATCAACTTCTACAGAAGACCAGTGATTTTCAACTCAGGCAGTGAAATATCCTGAATGTACTCCTAAGAAGTATTTCCGGGAATATTTGTCATTTTGGCACACATGAAAGCGTAACTAACTCTGTGATTTTCTGTGATTTTTGTATAACTAAAGAATAGATATTCCCATCCCTCCTTGTCACAGGTCACATTGTCCAATCAGGTATCGCAGCATTTCCTTGGTAACTCCTTCTAGTCTTTGGCCAGCACCTGTTGAGATGACTTTGGTTCCCACAGGATGTTGAGATGTTATTGTCTGGTCTGACATTCCAAATCTCTCCCTCCCCCCCATACTGAATGGCAAGCTGAGAAACAAAAAAATGGCTGTGGCAGCATCAGTGGTGGGTTTCAAAAATTGTTCGAACCTACTCTGTGGGTGTGGCCTCCTTTGTGGGAGTGGCTTGCCACCCATGTGACCGGATATGAANCCCAAACTTGGCAACTTTAAGACTTGTGGACTTCAACTCCCAGAATTCTCCAGCCAGCAGAGCTGGCTGGAGAATTCTGGGAGTTAAAGTCCACAGGTCTTAAAGTTGCCAAGTTTGGGAACCACTGGCATAAAGAACTCTCTGACCAACTGAGGAAAAAAAGGATAAGTACAAAAAATGGAAAGATTCAAATAATATAGCAGAATACTGACAAATAGCCTGAAGCTGCAAAGATTAGGAAAGCTAAGGCTCAGAACAAAGTAAGACTTGCAACAAATGTCAAAAACCATTTTAAAAAAGTGCTTTCAACACATAAAGAACAAGAAAAAAGTCAAAGAAACAATCAGTTCACTAATGAAAGAAGATGGCAAGGAAGTAAAGGGCAGTAGGGAGAAAGCAGAACTGTAATTCATTCTTTGCATCTGTCTTCACACAAAAAGGAAATGCAAACCAGTTTACAAAAAACAAAACTGTAAATTAAAGGCTAGGAACAAAAATTAAAACAAGCAGAAATAAGGCAAGAGAACATCTATCAACTCTAAATGGATTGAAAACTCAAAGTCCTGACAGATTGCATCCAAGAGTTTTAAAAGAACTGGCAGATGTGGTCTCAGAACCTTTCTTTATTGGCCAAGTGTGATGGGATACACAAGGAATTTGTTCAACACCATCTTTCAAAGTTCTTGGAGTGCTGGGAAACTACATAAGGACTGAAAAAGAATTGGTGGAATTCCTCCATCAGGGGAGGAAAACACAGATTTAGGAAATTACAGCCTGACATTAATACCTGGGAAGATCTTGGAAAAAAATATTCAAGCAACAAATCTGCAAACACTTAGAAGCAAATGAAGTTATAACCAGAAGCCAACAGGGGTTTGTCAAAAACAGATCATGCCAAACAAATCTTATTTCATTCTTTGACAAAATGACTAAATTAGTGGATCAGTGAAATGCTGTGAACATAGAATACTTAGATTTCAGTAAGACATTTGACAAAGTAGACCACAACCTACGTCTTGGTAAGCTTAAAAAATGTGGGATAGGCAGCATCACCAACAGATGGATTTGTAACTGGCTGACAAACCATACTCAACATGTAGTCCTCAAAGGAACTACATCCACATGGAAGGAAGGAAGCAGTAGGGTACCCCTAAGGTTCCATTCTAGGCCTAGTACTCTTTAATATCTTCATAAATGATCCAGATGAAGGAATAGAAGGGCAACTCATCAAATTTGCAAATGACCCCAAGCTGGCAGGAATAGCCAACACTTCAGGCTCAAAATCCAAGAGGATCTTGACAGACTTGAACACTGGGCCCTATGTAAGAAAATGAAATTCAGTGTAGATAAAAGTAAGGTTGTTCACTTGGGTACAGGTGCAGACTAGGTCAAACTTGGCTCAATGCCAATGACAGAGGGATCTTGGAGCCCAAGTGGACAATTGTTGTTTATTATTAGTTTGTTGTTTATTAGTTTTGTATGCCGCCCACTCCCGAAGGACTCCGGGCAGCTCACAATAATCAGGGAAAGGGAAATAAATAAGACAATACAAAGAATTTAAAAATNTTTTGGAACTTCTTCTGTAGGTGTGGCCTGCTTTCCAGGTCCACTGGTGGAACCTCTTCTAATCGGTTCGTTAGATTTGACGAACCGGTTCTACCGAATAGGTGCGAACTGGTAGGAACCCACCTCTGAGCAGCATGAATCCATTTCAAAGTTGACAGTTGGACCCACCTAGAAAGTGAGAAGCACCTGGAAAACATTAAGCACACATACATTAATTGAATTCAGTGATTCCCTAAGTCCCTAAGGAGGACCTTTTGATTTCTGAATATATTTCTTGTGACACTACTTTATTAATCTTTCTGCCTTCATATTCTGTACTTTTATCTGTCTAGTTTCTGACATTGGGTATCCCTTCCAATGGACTAAGTACTGAAGTTTCCCCTTGTACAACCTAGAATCCAGGACCCTTTTAACCTCATAGTGTTTCTCCCCTTCTACTACAATTGGACTTGGAACTATTGTTGCTACTGGCTTTAGATCTGACCCTACCACTGGCTAAAGCAGACTGAAATGGAACACTGGGTGCACTTTTCCCAGTAGGCATGGCAACTTTTAACTCTACTGTAATTGGGTTTATGATTTTCACTATGGGGTTCTATAAATTTTCAACCCAGCTTTTGGCAGGGCAATTTCAGTTTCAGATACTTGGTGGATAAATACACTTTTCTCTCCTGTGTGAAATGGTTTCTGGGGTGACCACCTCTTATCAACTTGCACTTTCTGATACTCCGTTGCCTTAACCAGTGCTTCTTTCACATTTCCCCTAAGCATTTTGCGAAGAACCCACTCACTCATGAGTCCATTTCGAAGTTGATAGAAGAAGTATAGGGGAAAATACCAGGAGCTATGGATCCAGCATATTTATTGATACGTCTATTTATTTATCTTAGAGATGGATATGCTACTCTTTAAAGAACAATTTTCCTATGACAATTTTGGAAGAAAGATTCTAATTTTTTTCAAGATGAAAAGTAAATAGCAGAAACAAATTTTGGAAAAGCTCAATTAATACATAACATTTTTAAAAAGAAGTGTGGGCATATAAAAAAATCATTTGGTTAATGCTGAAAAATGACAAATGTTTGTTCCTCTTATTTGCAGTCCTTATTTTGGAGCAAAACAAATGACCTGGCACATCATTACACGAAAACAAATCATGATTTCCTCACCTTAGAAGATACTTTGCTAGGCTACATAGCAGATGGAATTACCTGGTGTGGAAATCCCTCTGATTCAGGTAGAAAAAGCAGAATTCTTACCTCAATACTTGTTTGGAGGGATGGTGGGAGGAAGAAATTGTACAGTATTTCCAGTCCTTTAAAAATGACTGGAAAGAGAATTGATCCCATGAAACAAAAAGGGTTTTTTCACTGAAAATGAAAATACAGCTTTTATTTAGTCTATAAATCATTTTTAAACAAAGCATTTCTTCCAATTTAAGGAAAAAAGAGAATCCTGATGGATCCCACGGGCCATTTATAAAAGGAGGGTAACATTAAATATTAATATATCTCATCCTTTCCACATTATATTTATGTCCAAACATCTTTCTTCTAGGAGTCAATTATGAATCTTGTCCAAAACGGACTGAGTGTGAAAATAATCCCAGTTCAGTATATTGGAAATTGGCCTCTAAAATGGTATGTTTTGCTGATCTCTTTTTAGCCCCAATGCTAAATGTGCATAATGTATCAGTGATATATGCTTTAATGCAATGAACCCCAATCACCAATCTAGAAAATAACTCCTATTGGTCATTAAATCCAAGTAGTTTCATTTTCTCATTGGGAGAAATACAAATTTCTTTCTGGACTCAAGGTGCTGATACTGAAAGCTGTGCTGAACAGGCTTGCGTTCCACAGGGTCGCCCTCTAGATCTGCGTGGGGGCTAATTAATGATTCTGCATTAATAAATAGCATCTGGTATGCTTGCACCCCAACAGCAGCAATTCTATTTTCCAACAGTTCAATTTTTAAGTTTTCTTCAGCACTCCATAGCTGCAAACTAGCTAATTAATGTACAAAATACAGTTAGCCCTCAACTTACATCCATTCAGTTAGCGACCGTTATAACAGCACCCAAAAAAATTAAGATACCATTGAAACTATGAGGTGTTTAGCACCCCTACAGTCATGTGTTCAAAATTCAGGTGCTTGGCAACTGGCATATATTCACAATAGTTGCAATATTCCAGGATCGTGTGATTACAATTTAGACCTTTTCAGCCAGCCACTGCAAAGCAAAATCAATGGGGGAAGCTGGGTTTATTTAACAACCTCAGACTTTATTTAACAACAGTGATTCACATAACCATGGCAAAAAAAAGGTTGTAAAATAGGGTGTAAGTCATGTTGCTTAGTAGCTCACTTGGCTTATTAATAGAAATTCTGGCCCTATTTGTGATTGCAGATCAAAGACTATCTGTATTGATGTGATGATGGGTATCTACCAAAGCAGTGGAGGGTTTCAATTTTTTTTACTACCAGTTCTGTGGGCGTGGCTTATTTTGTGAGTGTGCCTTGGCGGTTATGTGACCCGTGGGGGGTGGCTTGGTGGGTATGTGACTGGGTGGGAGTGGCTTGATGGTCATGTGACTGGGTGGCCATGGCCAATTTAGCCGTTCATTTTGCCAAGGAAACATGGTAGCTTTCAGGGCTCCATTGTAACTTTGAACAATTGTTAAGCAACCATAAGTTGAGGACTCCCTCTATTTGTTAGTTTTATTATTATATTAAAGTTTTTCCTCTTCCATGAATTTTGTGAAAAACTGAAACCATATTCAGACAGCATTGATATAGGTGGGTATGTCTTGTTATGAGTACATATGTTTGAAATTGTGGCAGGAAAATTAATCCTGTAGAAATAAGGTGTTCAAATATCTATTGTAATTTTTGGAAACACAAAATAGTGACCAAATATAAAATATATGATTTGTTGGTAGTCAGAAATAATGTTCCTCCTTGTTTTAGTTTGCAGAAGCATCCTGTGGAACAGTCCAAGTGATGCTCAATGGGTCAGCAGAGACTGGAGCATTTAGAAAAAGCAGGTATTCTCTTTCCTTTCATGGGCATAAAATGTTCCTAAACTAAACAAGGAACATTTTCTTCATGATTTCTGACCAAGGAATGTCAGCCATGGGTATCTGCAAGATATGGAATAAAGATGGCAACCACAATGATATGATTGAAGTATTACTGTAGAAGATGACCAGGCTCTTGTAGAGAGCTTAAGCTTGCAATAAATATTTACATCCATTTGAACTGCCTGGATCTTCTGATTTCTCTGGTTCTTGACAACTATCAATTTTAATCTGCATCTCACACATGACACACATTAAAGAGTGTGGAGCTTCAATTGCACCAATATGCTGCCATCTTGATTTTTCCAACTGTACCCTTACAGATACCCCAAGGGCCAGGTGTAGCTTTTCTAAGCGCTGGACTAGCAACTGGGCTGTGGCATCCAGTTCTCAGCCTGATTGATGATAAATGATAAGTGATGCCTTTCAAAAATGATTTGCCTTTTCCCTGGAAAGGAAAGGAAAAAAGAAAGAAATGAAAGAATAAAGAAACCAAAAGAGTAAAGGATTTCTTTTTTTAAAAAAGGAGAGCAAAAATGTAGCTCAGTTTACCATTTATTTCAGTAGGAGCCACCATGGGTGTGCAAGTCCCAAGTAGGTTCCTTCCACTGAAATACTCCTCTTGAAAATAAAGCCCCCCCTTTTGACGTAAGGTGTCAAAACAAATGCAAGGCTTTCATAATAATAATAATAATAATTTTTAAAAATCAGTGTTAATATTTATTTATTTATTAAATTATTTGGCTGCCCATCTTGCCACAAGGTAACTCTGGGAGGCTTACAATCATAATAATATTTGCATGAAAATTCATCACAGCATGGTTAAGAGGATAGATAATCCTAGGTGGGGACAAGTAAAGGATATCCCTTAAGATTTTGGACTGTACTCTGTTCATTTTGCTAATACCAAAATTCAGCAAAATCCTTTTTGGCTATGTCACCTTGTGGTTCCTTTTCTTTTCTTCTTGGCTTTCTTTGTGAGCTTGTCCCCATGGCCAAGAATTTTATGATGAATAGCAGACAAGGCTCATCCACCATTCACTGAATATGGCAAGCACAGATCCCCCTGTTGAAGTGTCAGACTATATAAGGATCTAGAAGGACCAAATTAGGGTCTTTTTTCCTCTCTTTTGTAAATAGAAATATATATCCAGTAACAAAGGAGTTATATTTTAACATTTTGGCCTGATATATGTGTTTAACCAAGGAAAGGTTTTGAATGTGTTTCTCTGCTTCTGTTGTTTCAGCATTTTTGGCAGTGTTGAAATTGTTAACTTAAACCCAGAGAAAGTTTCCAAGATGCAGATTTGGCTAATGCATGATATTGACGGACCTCAGAGGTATGTATGGTTAGCCCGTGCAGAATATNGTACTGCTCTATCATTGCATTCATGCATTCCACCACCCCATTAGTACTCAGATGAAAAGCTGAACTAAGCCCCTGGAAAGACCCAATTGACTTTAGAAACTCGCTCCAGAATTTGTCCATAAACTGGACCCCCCAATCATATATGATCCTCTTTGGGACTCCATGCAGTCAATAAATGTGCTTCAGGAACAGCTTAGCCAGTTTATGGGCTGAGAAGTAAGTCTGTTTGGGAAAAAAGTCAATCAATGTCCAAATTATGGAATTTCCTCCACTTTCTGGGAGTTCCATGATGAAGTCCATTGCTATTTCCTCCCACGGTCCTGACAGTTTGGCCACTTGTAATAATCCTGGGATTTTCCCAGGTCTTTTTTTCTCACTGCACATGTCACAACAGTTTTTTTACATGGTTTTAATGTCCTTTTTCATCGCTGGCCACCAAAATTGGCTTCTTTGCAGAACTTGGACCAAGATGTATAATGGGGGGTGTACAATTTTGGACTTTTCAATGCCAATCCATCTTGGGAGGTCAGGAGATGTTAATTGTCCCTGAACTAGGGGTTGGTTTGCAGCTTGGCTCTGAGTTTTTGAGTTAGCTCTTATCCTGGCTCCCTCGATCACCTCCAAGTCTGATGCCTCATGTAACTTGTACTGCCTTCTGGGGGATGGGAATGATGGCATTGACCATCTCTTCATGGTTATTCTTGTACTGGAGCATTCAATACAAGGCACTCACTAGGAATTTTTTCCCTCCTGGGATGTATTTTAGTGTGAAGTTGAATCAGTTAAAATACTGCGCCCATTGAACTTCTTTGAGAAAGAGCTTCTGAGGGGTCCTAAGAGACTCCAGATTTTTGTGATCAGTCCACACTTCACACTTGGCTCTCTTCTAGGAAGTCCCACCAGGTTAATAGTGTCCAATGGATTGCAAAAGCTTCCTTTTCCCACATCACCCACCTTTGTTCAGTGTCAGTGAGTTTTCTGGAGGTGTAGGCACATGGTTGGAGGTTCCCCTCAGCCCTGATGCCTCTGCTTCCCCACCATGGCCCCAGCCATAGCTGTCCGGCTTCCTCAAAGGTTGACACATTTTAAAGGCGGCAGCTCACGTCTGGAGGTACTGAACAGCGGGACAGCTGGGAGAGCCAGGCCTGCCTCTCTACCATCTGATTCTCCACTGGGAGCACTTCTGTTGGGCCAGCCAGCCCCCCCTCGCTAGGCTTTTGTGCTCACTGCTTGGCCAGGGGAGGGGAGTGCTTCTCTACACCACCCCCTTCTTTTTCTTGGCCCCGCCAACAAGGGAGGAGGAAGGCTAGGCTTGAGGGATGGCCCCCATCCCTCAAGATCCACCCCTGCTGTTCTGCCCAGCTCTCTTTGCTGGCAGCAAAATCAAATGTACCGTGATGAAGGCAGAATGCTGTTTCCACGCAAAGGCAAGTACATGGTGCTTCACTTCTGCACTAAGGCTCTGCCCATCGCCACTGCCATGACAGTGCAGCAGCTTTTCATCCCTCTGCCACGACAGGGTGACAAGTAGCCATAGCAGAAGTGTGAAAGAGCTGCATGGGTCGCATTGTGGCTCTGCATCGTAATGGCTTCAGGAGGTGGATGAGACCCTACCTCCCCATTGTGAAGCACGTGAGTGAAAAAGTTCACTCAATCCATTCCAACTTCACAATATATTTTTTTCTTTAGTGAGAAGTTGGAATGGATTGAGTGAAAGGAGAAACACTACTGGAGCTAGGCAGGGGTGATGGCATGCATGCTTACAGAGAGGGCTCTGTGTGCCATGTCTGGCATGCATACCATAGATTCACCATCACAGGTCTACACTGTTATCTCCTCTGAAAAATATTAGTTAAATTAAAAAGGATCCAATGGGAGTACTGAAAATTGATAAAATAGAATAAAACCAAGAGGCACTACCGCAAACATGCTCCAGCTGCACCAGCCACCTTTCTCCCCACTCCTTCTGTCCCAGAAGGAATCCCTCCCCTTAATCAAGGAAGTACAGACTCTTGAAACCTAACATTTCAAAAGGAACCTTTTATTGAAAAAGGATTGATAGCTGAGCAAAAGCAAAGCAGGATCTGGGGTCCTTAAGGCAATACAACAGGAATAAAGGAAATTGGAATTCCCTCCCAATAGTCCAATGTGGATTCAGCCAATCTGCAGGTGTGAAAATGTTTTTGTAATGCTCTGGGAAAGTGAGAAGAAGACTTTCTCAGGGTCGTTTCCTGAGCAATGCAATCCACATGGCCCTGCCTCCCTACACATTCCCCGAAAGGTGAGAAAATGCCAGGCCTCTAGGTGTCAGGCTAGAAGTTATAAAGCAATTAACTATATGGTACAGGATGTATAGGAAAGAAGGATAGAAAAGTCTAAAGGAAGTATAGGGCTCCCCTATTCCCCTGAAGAACGGCAGAGTCATGGATGTAACATCAAGGTTCCAATTAACAAACTCAAGCAAATCAGAACTCTGAGACCTGGCTCCTTCTCAAAGGTCTCCTTTAATGAGTACATCATATTCGCACAGTTTCAATGCAAAACCAAATCTAAATATTTCCCATGGTTACAGTATAATTAAACTAGGAAATAACCCCATCCCCAAGTATCACAGGTCACACTGGCCAATTGGGTTACTTGGCGGGCTCTTCAGACACTCCTTCCCCAACCTTATCTGTTGCCAGTAGAGATGACCTTGGTTCTCATGAGAAAGCTCTTTGTTGTGTCTAGTAATGCATTCCAACCTCCTTCTCTCTTTCCCCTCTGTGTGGAACCGAGGAACGGAAAGATGGCTGCAGCCAGGTTCAGTTCAAAGTTGACAAAAACAAAATTAAAGTTTCATTTTTTTCATTACAAGCGTAACATCTAAAAGCAATTTCAAAATAGAAACAAAGTTAGATATATTCTTCTTTGGATAAAAGAATCTATTTGACCACCTCTGCTTCTCTTTGCTGTGAGGAATAATATATGCTTCTGTTAACTCATTAATCTTTATCATAATTTATATTAAGAAAATCTATATTACTTAAAAAAATTAACCCTAAACAGGAGAAAACACTTTTTTTAGTTTTGATATCTTACTAATTTTAAAAATTACTCAAGTATTATAGATAAAGGAGAGAAAAAAACCCTTTTATTTTAAACCCAGAACCCAAAACACAATACTACATTAGGACTTTGATTCAATTATATATCTATCACACCAATATAAGTCCAATTAGCTCAATGAATTCAGATCTCTTCCTAATTGAATGGATCTTTTTTTTCTCTTATTTTCAAATTTAATCAATAGTATTTTACAACTTTGGGGATTATTCAGCATTATGGAAAAAGACAGAGGATATACATTTCCAGATTCATTTTATACATACAAAACTATCTTAAAGCTTTCTTTCACTATATATATCAAACTTGTAAAAGTCCAGTCTAACTAATTAAGTCATTAAATTTAAGTCACTCCCTCCTGCTTATCTTCGTAGAATGAAGTCTTTTTTCTTCTCAGGAGAGTCTATCAAGTCTTTTTTCTTGGATAAAGTTGTCAGCATTATTTACAGTATATCCATGAAAAAGATTTCCCAAAGTTGTTCTGTTAAACATTGTCAATTAACTTGAAGCAAATCCTTGTAGATGAAAGCTTCCTTCTTTAAGATGACTATCATATCTTTTTTTCTCAAATTAATTTCAACCTTGTTAGTATCCATGAAAAAAAAATTCCGAACTTGACCTCTTGAGAGTTGTTTAATTTACTTGATACTTTTGTTTCAGTTGCACTAGGAGGGTTATATTCAAACCACCATCATAAAAAAAATCTAATGCAGTGTTTCCCCCAAAATAAGGCAGCATCTTATTTTCTTTTGACCCCAAAATAAGCACTTGGCCTTATTTTTGGAGACATATTATTATTTTTGAGTTGCAGGATGCAACGAGTATGGTCACCTCATGGCTGCTGCTGTGTTGCAATATTTTTGGGGAGGGCTTATTTTTTGGGGAGGGCTTATTTTAGCAAATGCACTCAAAAACCCGATTGGACCTATTATCCGGGGAGGTCTTATTTTCAGGAAAACAGGGTAACAGGTTATTTGCAATGTTCGGCATTTGTAGAGTTGACGCACACTGTGTCAACTCTACAAATGTTTACACCTAGATTTGTCTCTTGTTCTTTTTTTAATATCCTATATATAATTAATATCTTCTATTTGATTTATGAAAAGAGCAAGTTTCTGTATGGACTTACCAAAGATTTCCTTAATGGCATACTCCAGCTTAGTGTTAAACATCTTCGTAGCTTCCTCTGGTGGTCAAAAAATGTTGTTTGTTTGTTTATCCTTTTTCTAGCCAACCAGCGTTCATGAAAATTAGCAAAATTTCAACCAACTACAACAAAACAGTACAGGGATAAAGATTATTTTTAAAATAGTAGATTAAAATAACAACTTTCATCCTTATATTTCAAGTGAGAAAATTCTCTCTGCTTCTTTCTTTTGGCTGCCTCTAACAACTCTCTTCCTTGTTTAACAATAAATAAGACTAAAAAATAGCATTCAGATCTTCAAAAGGAGTTATAGGCTGTAACTAAAGAGAGCCTCTTTTAGCCAATAGAGATAATAGTCTCATTAATTGATTAAGAAATGAAGGGAACAGCTTATTGTCTGTTTGAAAAATAAATTCTAAATGGCTGTTTTATCCAATAACAATATGATTTCACATAATCTTCAGATTATTATTATTATATACTTTATTCATTAAACATGAAACTCAGCCAACTGAACATTCAAAAATGGATTACAAATACCAGTGACTGGTGCTAATAGTTGATATGGTTTGCTGCCAGCATCCTAGGTGTCAACCAAGTAACTTCTTAAAATATGTTCCGAGTAGCGCAGTTTTTGCAGTTCTCATGGTGTTATTGCAGGAAGCTACAATTTGTTGATGTATCTTGTAAAATTCTTGGACATGGTGCCAAGTGCCCCGATGACAATGGGTATCACTGTTACATGCTTCATCCATAGCCATGTAGTTGCGATGCGATATTTCATGATTTTTTCTAGTTCTTTTTCTTTGACTCTGGCATCTCCAGGAACAGTGATATCAATAAGCTGTACTCTTCAGCCCTCTACAACCATGATATCCGGCGTGTTGTGCTCCAAATGAAGATCTGTTTGTTTCGAAAGTCCCACAAGATCTTCATCTTCTCATTTTCGATAACTTTTTCCACTTTATGTTCCCATGACTTTCTGGATACAGGTAAATCATATTTTTTTACATAATGACCAGTGGATTAATTTAGCAACTCAGTCGTGTCTAGTTTTGTAATCAGTTTGTGCGATTTTGCTGCATTCACATATTAAATGTGAAACAATTTTGATTTTGTTATTGGAAAGTCGGCAGTTTGGGTTGTCAGTGGATTTTTATATCTTTGCTTTCATGGCATTAGTTTGTAGTGCTTATT